ATCTTTGAAATAAAAAAAAACTTTTAATTTTTTTTCTCAAAAACGGTAAATGTTAAATATAGAGTGTTTGACATCAAAACTCATAAATTTTACAGAGAATTTAAATATGTAATAAAAAATGGGGGTAACCATTTAAAATAAGAAAGTTACTTACAGTTGAAGGTTGGAACCTTTGGTGTTACACAGCAAAATAAAACACTAAATCACCACAATACACCAAAACACTTTTACTTTTACACTGGACGCGCGTTTCGCTAACCATGTTAGCATCATCAGCAGATGATTATAAACTGTTTGATGATTATAAACTGTTTGAGTTTATAATCATCTGCTGATGATGCTAACATAGTTAGCGAAACGCGCGTCCAGTGTAAAAGTAAAAGTATTTTGGTGTATTGTGGTGATTTAGTGTTTTAAGAAAGTTACTGTCATCTTCGGGAATTTCTGGAAGTGCCGCCACATTAAAAATATTTTTAATCTTTGAAAATGTGAAAGAATGTTGTACAAAAAATCTCCGATCTAAATGCTGTAGTTCTCTAGAGACTTCTAATGCACGCTCAGCCCGGTACACCCTGTATAATAAACTGACTAATCTCAAATCTTAAATTGAAAAATAGATTTGATTGATATTTACTTCTATAATTTAGTTATACTACTTTTATGTTTATTTATGCATTTATAATTTTGATGTTTATTAAAGTGTCTCACTGGAAACCTGGTTTCAAGTGAAGTCTATCACGTATCGTGACTATTTTTTATGACCTTTTCTGGAAAGCATATATCTCGAAATTTGTTTTTTTAAATTAACTTATGTATTATTTAAAAAAAAACTTATCTGAAATTTACTCACAAATCTGAACGAGGGTAATTCTAGCAGTCAATAGGGGTGAGAAAGATAAAGAAGTGCCTTTGCAAAATTTCATCAAGTATTCTGACCTTTTCTAAAAAGTGTACAGCTTTAAATTTCGTATATCGAAAATAATATATAATAAATAATAAAATAATAATGGTGCCCGGTGGCATAGAGGAGGAGGCTCTCGTCTACCAATCTCAAGGTGTGGGTTCGATTCCCACACCCGGCATTGCATCAGCCGACTATTTTTATTAAAATAAAAATAGTTTGGGTACCTAGGTCGACTCAGCCTTAAATGAGTACTTGCGATTCACAATCCTGAGGTAATAATGGGCGGTCGAAGCGTAGTGCTAGCCACATTACCTTCCTTGTATACCGACCGGCTCTAGCATGGCAAGCTGTACCTTGCTACTCCTAAGGCGTTAAACGCTATATACGGGAGCTATTATTATATATCGAAAATAATTTATATGTAATTTCAGAAATCTATATCAAAATTACTTGAAATCTCGTATGAGGGTAGTTCTATAAGTAGATCTTATAAAGTATTAACTTTTTCTAAAAGGTGTATACTTTAAATTTAGTATAACAAGAGTAATTTGTATATATACAGTAATATTTTAAGAAAAATATCTGAAATTTATTTTCCCTACGAGAGTAGTTTTACGAACAAATAGAGGTCACGGGGTGGAAAAGCGTAGGTACATATTTGATTAATTTAATCTCAACACAAAACAAGAATTGAATACCTACAATACCAGAATAATCTGTTTATATAAAAATTTACTTTTTTTATGTAACCATACTTACTTTTCTATAAATATCGTAATCTTAAACCATACCGGATGTTCAAATTATGTGACAAACTTTTTAAAATATAAAACAATTTTTCTTCATATTTTTAAATGGTACACCCTGTATATTATTCCTTTGTTAGATAGAGAAGTAAGAAAAATACATTTTCTGTGAGGTTTTTCTGCTTCTTGAGGCCAAGAAGCAATTTTCCTTGCAAAATAATATCACTAGTAACATATCTATCCGTTCCACCAGTAGATACTGCTTTATTTTTCTTGATAAAATAATGAATACTTACTTATTAAACTATTGTAGGTAAATTTAAGTAAACTGTTATATATTATAAATAATAATGTCCATAAACTAATGTCGACTTTGAAAATAGTTACTAACTGTCACTAGAAAAGTGCCATGGCGACACCAGCCATCTTGATTGCAATTTTATATAAAAATCGCTTTTTATTAAAAATCTGAGCTAGACAGGTATAGGAAACCCTAATATAGTTTGAAAGAGCATTTGAATCTTCTTGGATTTATTTTAAAAAAGACAGGGTGTTTTATTTGAAATAACGAAGTTTTTATATAAAATATATCCTTAAAATAAATCAACAACTTTTGATAGCCCTGTATAAATTTAAGGAACCAATAGCATTTTTCAATAAAGTTTGTTTCTCTACCTTTAAACTCAGCATAAGAATTAATTCCGAAAAGTAATGTACAGGGTGTTAATAGTATATTCTATTGTAGCATGCAAATTTAAATATCTTTAAATATCTCAAAAACTAAAGATTTTAAACATATTTAACTCTTATAATAAATGTCTTTTTTTGGGCCCAAGAATCCAAAAATGATATAAAATACCGGGTGTTCCATAGGAAAAAAGATAACTTTGGTATGGATCTTAGTTCTGAAACACCCTGTATATTTCACAATAATTTTAAATTGTGCACATTGCCTCCCCATATATGCCCATAAAATATTTTGTTTCTACATCTTTCCGTTTTCGTATAATCAACCGAGGCGAATGAGGTGCGCCACCCTGTATTTTCATCAAGTCATCACTCTTTCAACGGTAAAATAGCAGACAAAAATCATTGGATAGCTTTGTTAAAAAATTACTACTGAAAAACCCATATTATATATTACAATATAATATTGCGTATATCCGCAAAACCATTAAAAAAAATTAAAATATTGAAAATTTTTATTTAAAATACTTTAAATAAAAAAAATAAATTTTCCATCTATGGAAAGAATAATATATTGGATGTTCCGTTCGAAAAAAACCTAAGAAAACTAAAATTAATATTTTAGACAGTTTGACATAGAATTTTGAACACATTGTATGGTTTAAGACTACAATATTTATAAAAAAAGTAAGTATAGACCAACTGTACTAAAGACCTAATATAGTTTTGATTTCAGGACATTCCTTGAATTTTTAATAATATTTTTAAAAAAGACTGAAAATATTTTTTTTTCTATTTTTTTATTAATATCTCTGAAACGATCAAAACATATTTAGTAATACTACGTAAAGTGATCAGAGAGGAAGCCAAAAAATGCAATAAAATACAGGGTGTTCCGTTTAAAAAAATATTCCCATCCACTCACACTTTTTTGAGCCACCTTGTAGAAGTCAAAATATTTTCCTGAAATACAACCTAATACATACTTTAGTTTTGCACTTCAACAAAATTCCTTAGTTTTTTTATTATAGGAGATACAAATTCCCGACGTATTATTGCCCGGCCCGGTATTAATAATAATAATAATAACAATAATATGTCTTTATTTTAATAATCCTCGGCGAAGTTCAGTAAATAACTGCTTAGTCAACCGAGTACCATTACAGTATAACCTAACAAATAATATCAATATCTACTACCTTATCTTAAATTAATATATCAAATGTATAAATATAGTAACAAAAAAAACAATGAAAAATACAAAAAATATAAAAATATAAAGCATTAACAAAACTATTAGTGTAACACATAGAGCACACATAGAGAACAATTAATACTTATATGTAAGTACATTATGCAATAACATAAGGCAACAGGCATGTATTGGTGTTGATGAAGAGAGAGCCAAGGAGAGGCATAGTTGGCTGGTTTCAAAAAGAATACTCAACTCACATTATGGAATAATAAATCTCTGAACCCCGATCTAAATGAACCGAGGGACTTAGCTATTAAAGCACTTGGCAGGGAATTATATAACGAGACCGCAGAATACGTAAATCGTCGATATAAAGAGGTCTTATATTGAGGTAGATATAACTGATTAATATTTCGAGTGTCTCTGCTATGAACAGTTTGGCGCAGTTTTAATTTAGATTTTAAATATAATGGTGTCTGTAATTTAATTAGTTTGTGTACAAAGGTAGCCAAATGCAGTCTACGCGTTCATACATATTAAGCCACTTCAATTCTTTAAGCAAAGGTGAGATATGCTCCCCTCTATCCAGAGAACAAAGAAAACGTACACATGAATTTTGAATCTTCTGTATTCTGGAAGAGGAGTGCACGTCAAGACAAGGTCCATAGACAATGTCAGCATAGTTGGCATGGCTAAGAACCAGATTGTCACATAGGCTACGTTTCAATGCTTGACTCATAATATTTTTATTCCTATACAATCCCCTCAATGCTGTATAACTTTTTTGCACAATCGAATTGACATGATTTCGAAATCTAAAATCACAATCTAGAGCTAAACCCAAATTCTTGACAGTTTTTAATGGATGGATTATTTCGTTATTCAGTTCTTTGCTAAGGGTACCCTACCAAAACAAATCATTTGAGTTTTGCCAAGATTCAACTGAAGACCATGATTCAATGAGTATTTACTTATTTTCTCAAGAGCAGAATTAATATTATTGTAAACAGCTGCTGCATTTTCAGCAGTGTAAGTTGCATATATTTGCGTGTCATCGGCAAATTGATGCAGTTCGCAATCCACAATATTATTTTTCAAATCAGCGGTGTAAATAAGGAACAAGAGTGGTCCCAAAAAAAATTAAAGTGTTTTAGAAAAGATGTATTTAGACATTTTAAATGTTTTTTTTTCTTTTTTCTTCTTGTTTTTTTGCCTCTGACGACGGGAGGAGATTTACATCCTGAAACGTTAAGCACTTCTTGTCGGCTGAAAAAATGTGAAGTCGCCACAAAGGTAAAGACATTACTTATTACTCAGTATTCAAGTCCCTTTCGAAACATACAATTTATTTTAACGAAAACATTTCCACTAGCTTCATGATACCCTGCCAACATACCCATCAAAGTCCATTCCGTATATTCATCTTCTCAATCGACAGCGGCATCGATCTCGCCCATCCTAACTCCCATTTCAGTAGCCATCGGAATTCGCGATAACCTAGCAGCGAATTCCGCGTACGCGTCGTTCTTCGTCGCCGGTACTACCGCAAGCAAACCAAATTGGCTGTCGAAGTTGGCAAGGACGCGATAAGATATAAAAAGTACCCGTTAAAAAATCGGTGGTACCATTGTCTTCTGTCTCGCCTCGATCGACCCAGCGTAATGAGCGGAAAAGTAAGTCTGATTTGCTTCTGATTTTTTTTTTCGTTATTTTCTCGTTTCGGTCCTTATTTTGTGCAAGCTCAAATTAGCGGTTCGGCGGAAAACTTCAAGGTCGATATGTAGATCGGTATCTTCTTGGATCTCGTTACTGGTTACTTTATTGTAATTAAATCCGTTTTCTTTATTTTGCTTTTTAACATTTTTATACTCTATATTAAAAGTCAATAATAATTATACTTATCAGGTAAAAGGATATGCATGTAAGAATTGAGTTTTCTGAGAGTTAAATATTAAATTAACATTTCAAACTGATTTTGATTTTTTATTTAGGGATGCCAGATGATATTTATATACAGGGTGTTTCAAAACATGTGCCACATCTCGTGGGGGAAACTCCTCATGAAAAACAAGATTTATTTTTCATATTAACATAGGTTCTACTTGTTTGGTAACTACAGGGTGTCAAAAGTATCTTCGATCTCGATTTATTATAATTTTCTAAAGTACTTTTAGTGATTCGAATGAATTTTTGGGGGTAAAATTTACTATAAGGGCTACATATTTTAATGCTAAAACAATGTCGATAAATTCATCAGGGATGTGCATATAGGTTATCACTAGAATTATTTTTTTTAAAAAAAAAAACTTGTGCGCCACTGATTTTTTTCCTTTTAGATCAGAATTGTGGGTCGTTTCATACCAATTAAAAGTTATCTCTTGATATTTTGTCAAATTTGGTCCTTCGTTTTTTTGCAAATAAAACATAAATTTATCTTACCCTTTTTTAATACAGGGTGAGTCTTAAATAAGTGCAAATATTTTCAAGGCTGGTAGATTTCGATAAAAGAAACATATTTTATCTTTACCGTTTTTCAAATAAGTCCAAATAACCCAGATATTTGACTTCCAGAATAATTTATTTTGAGAACTACTGAATCTTTTCTGTGTTTTCTTTCTTGTAAAGTTAATCTACTCTCCCTATGTTGCCATATTATGAAAATTTTATGATTTTTAACTAAGAATTAAAAGAAAAATCCAAACATTTCTACAAAAAAATCCAAATTTTTATTTTTTTCTTGACAAAAAATCCTCATAGGCGTGTTTTTGGGGTCGATATATACTACCTCTAAAATTATTTGCACTTATTTAAGATCACCCTTTATATATTAATCAATTTTGCAAATAATTTTCAATGTGATAAATTAATAATGATTTATCTCACCGACAAGATTTATTTCTTTGGTGAGCAACTTAGTTTATTTATCCAATTAGAAAATCTAGAACTAAGGAATAGCTTTATTTATTTTTATTTTCTTATTTTTCAGGAAATTTAGTTTTATTTTTTTTACTTACATTGTACTTTTTTTTTGATAAATAAACTTTACTTTACTTTACTTATCCCATTGATGGACAGGAAAAAAGAGGAAGAACAGAATTACTTTAAATAAATATCAATTTTAAATATAACAAACTTGTATCACAACATATAATTGAATCAAACTCTATTTTTTATAGTATAACCAAAGATTAACTATATAATATAGTATAAGGTGTTCTACCATACGATCGAAAAAAACGGTGTTAAAGACGGCTGGCGAATGACAATCGATGAAAATTTTGGCGAAGTCAAACCCTATACGTCATTTACTAGGCTCCTACTTTATTTTTTTAATGTCCCTTACTGCCAGTTGGCCTTGAGAGAGTTGTAATTTATTTTTATATTTAGTAAACGTGATTTTTAAATTATGCAGTTTAAAACTCGAAAAAACAATTTTATGTAAATAAATTTGTGTGGATAGAAACATCGTATCCTTTTTTAATTTTTATATAATTAGTGTTAATTTTTGACGACTTTTATGTAAATTTTTAGTAAATGACGTTTAAATATTGACCTCGCCAACATTATTATCAATTGACATTCCCGAGCCGTCTCTAACGTCGTTTTTCCGATCATACGGTATTTCAAATAATGTCGTCAGTTTTTTCGTACCAACTAGATTTACATATTCAAGGTTGTTTTTGATTGATTATTTAGTTTATCCAATTATTTAACTTGCTTGCTGACGCCCATTAACCTCTTATGGTTACATAAATTGTTACTGGTTTTTGATGACATATTTCGTAATATTAGTATTGGTAGGTACATATAACTTTTTTATTTTTTCTGATAATAAAATGTGGTGTGGTATGTTACTATATGACATAAATTAGGATTGATTGACGTATTCAATTGTTTTCGGTCGCTTCCTGTTTCACCAGATATGACTGCAACTTTTGATTTTTAAATGGCACTCTCAGTATATTTCTACTTTATTCAATAGAAAATGACACTTGAGTAGAATGACATAGCATATGTAAACTTTTGACATTTCCAATTTTAAAAAATATATATTTTAAATTTCAATCTAGTATCCATGGCTGTGTTAAAAGCACTAATTTTTAATCAAGGTGCCTTGGAAAAATAGATTTGATCGTCTAATGTTTTTCGTGTCTTGTCCTGGCCGGTTAAAAGATGCACAAATCGTATTTTTAATCATATTTCAATTTTTTCAAATTGAACGAGAGTAGCTCATTAGCATATTTGGAAACGTATTTCTTTACGAAAAATTGGGTCCCACACACTTGGTATTTCGTAACTGTCGTTACATTTATGACCATGGCACTCTAAATTAAAATCTAAAATGCTATTTTTTTCAATTGAAAATGTCAAAAGTTGACTTTATGATCATTCTATTCAGAATGTCATTTTCTACCAAATGAAGTAAGAAAATATTAAAGGTATCATTTAAAAATCAAAAGTTGTAGTCATTGTTGTAGTGACCGAAAATAATTGAATACCAAATATCGTTTTTTTTTCTGAAAAAATAAAAAAGTTATATTGGTGAGCCACTTTTGAGATGCACCCGGTATACATTCTTGAAAAATTGACTTTCTTTTTAAGAAGCATGATTATATATAATATATTTTTATCAACTGCTTGGAACAAATCTCTGTATGTAAATAACTTATATTAAAAAATAATACTTTTTATATAGGGTGGATAAAACGTATTAGGTTGTAGGTTGTTAAATAGAATGCTATTTTATTTGTCATCTCTAATAAACTCGTTACCTATCGATAATAATGTAACATTTACTTTCAGGTAGCCTGTATTTTTGTTGCCTGCCTCGTGGCAGTGAACGCAGGTCTCATTCCAGTGCCATCAGCGAAGTACTTGGAAGGTCCCAGCACCAAAACCAAAGTAGTCGGTCCTGATGGTAGCATCATCGATGCTTACGCTCCTGGAGGTCGCATTCTCCTAGAAGACAATGCCGGACCAGTCTTTCAAGCAGCCCCTGTAGTCTACGCTCACCCAGCGATCTCTGGATTCGAATACCAGCAACTCGTCGTACCCGAAGCTGCCTCGAATGCCGTAGAAGCTGTGGTTCCCGTAGCATCAGCTCAAGATGCCACTGCTGACTCCATCACCGTAGAAAGTAGAAAGATAACTTCTGATGGAGAAGAAAGGGTATTCCTTCACCCAGGAACTCCACCAAGAGTAGAAACAAGGGAATCAGTACCGATCAAAGAGGAGACTGAAGAAACCACTTCCGGTACGACGGAAACACCTGCGACGACTGAATTTTTGGAAAACTCTACTGCTGATTTGAGTGGTACTTATATTCCAGATAACTTCGAAAAGTTTTTCGATGATGGTAGTTATAGACCCGAATTCTACTAGATGATACTTGGAGACTGACGTAGTTTATAGCTATTTAAAAAAATAAATTATAATTAAAATCATGCGTTTTATTTAATTGTACTTTGAATGAGCTAGAAGGTCGAATCGATATTAATTTACCGGGTGAGTCTCAACGGGGGGGCTCGCCTTTATTTAACTATAACTTTTGATATTTTCGCATATACTATCGAAAAACTATAATGAGATAAAAATGAGATTTGATTGACTTATTCAATTGTTTTCTGTCACTTTCTGTTTGACTGGAAATGACTACAACTTTTGATTTTTAAAAGCCACCCTCGGTATTTTTTTTTATTTTATTCGATAGAAAATGACACACTGAATAGAATGACATATCGTATGACAACTTTTTATATTTTTGCATTTTGTTTATTTGAAATTGTAACATGCGGTTCATTACGACAATATGACTCAAAATACCAAGTGAGTGGTACCAAATTATTCGTAAAAAATGCTTTTTCCAAATACGCTAATGAGCCACCCTTGTTCCATTTGAAAAATTGATATATGATTAAAAATACGATTTAGGCATATTTTAACCTGCCAGGACAGGACATAAAAACATTAGACGAATTATATAAAAAAAATTGTGTTTTTAACACAGCCATGATACTCATATTTTTTTTAGCAAAAATGTCAAAAGTTGACATATGATATGTCATTCTATTTAGAGTGTCACTTTCTATCGAATAAAGTAAACATATACCGAGGGTACCATTTAAAAATCAAAAGTTGTAGTAATTTCCGGTGAAACAGGAAGTGACCAAAAACAATTGAATACGTCAATCAGTACTAATTTATGTCATATACTAACATACAAAATCTTGTTTTTTATCTGAAAAAATAAAAAGATATAGGGGTGAGTCACTTTTCAGACGCACCCGGTATATATAATATATTCAGATTATAATCTTTAGATCTTTATTTTAAAAGAAACACGACCTTTAGGAAATTTTCTTGAACTAAGTTTTCATCATAATTTTGTTTAATGCTTTACTTATTCTCCTTGACAATTTTAATCATAATTATCATTACATAATGTTTAAAAAATTCTTGGTTTTATAATATATTCTATTAGCCGAACAGTTGGGACAGTCAGGAAACAAAAAAAAAATTAAAAGGATCAGAGAAAATGTGGGCGATTGCCATTTTGGGTCGTACCGTTCATGTTTCACTTTACTACTCTACTCCTTAACCTCTGCGTATTTCCATAGTTTTATAGCTCATTTAACGTGTGTAACAAGTTCAACCGGACTGACATAAAATTTGAACATAAAATGTTTTATTACGTTATTTGCAACGTCGGTGTCGCGTCGGTAATATTAGGTAAATCACCTTAGTACTTAATATATAAGTAAACAAAAAATTCTTTATACTTATTTCTTTTTTTATACCCTATAAAACTTTTTTTTGTAAAAAATCGTCATTTAATTGCATTTTATCAAATATACACTCACCGGCGCGAAAAACGGACACCTCAAAATTTTGATGTATTTTAAAGTTTGATAGGTTTTGTTCTAGTAGGCCGATTTTGATGATTTTGAAAGCAATTTGTAGTTAAACTATTTCACTTTTAGCATCTCGTTCAAAATTAAAAATGAGAGTTTCCATCTCTCGATTATTCAGGGGTAAAAAAGTTGATATTTTCGTGAAACTTTGAAACACCCTGTAGAATATAGCGTTAACAGAGTAGCGAATTTAAAAATCATTTTATCACCTAAGTGCATCTTTTTTCGATGGTTTGGTGTTTTATTCATCTCACTAGTCTTATTTTTGTTGGAAATATTCGCTTTTGAAAAAGACACTAACATTTTCTCGTAATTTTTATTGATAATAAAATGTTAGAGTTACCGATTAAATTAAGGAAAAAGCAAAAACATATAATAAGAAAATTATCACTAATACCGATAATTATTCCCCCCCTCCCCTCCGAGCTTCAATCACAGCGTTTATCCGTCTCGGATTACTTTCCACTAAACGACGGCGACGTTTCACAGAGGAATTTTACAAATTTCTTCCAGAGGTATAGCCGTCCATTATTCTAGCAGTGCTCTTCGTAACTCATCCAATGTTTGAGAGGTTGGTACTAAACTTTTTTAATTCGTTGTGTGTAGTGGTCAATCTGGTTAATATTGTGATCTCTATTATCTTCAATTAAAACAATTATAATGGATACAACTTCGGGACTTAAAACCCTTTTCTGCTACAGTTACTGCAATAACAGAAAATAAAAATATTACTTTTCAATGACAGTGACATTACATAAATCATATAATAGATGGTTATAATAGATGGTCTTTTATCTATAATCATAAACAGTATTTCATAGGTCTGTTGACTAGCACCAAAAGCAAAATTACGAAAGAATATTAGTGTCTTTTTCAAAAGCGAATATCTCCAACAAAAAACAAACTATCGAGAAAAGATGCATCTAGATGATGATAGTATATTACATACCGAGGAGGGAAGTGTTTCATTACTGTCGAGAGAATTAACTAAATCGCGAGACAATAATGAAAACTTTCCTCCGAGGTTTGTATACTATTTTATTTACAACCACATCATTAATAAACTTGTATTTGATAAAATAAACTGTATTTTGATTTGAATTATTTATAGGTATGTGTTCCTTATTACTTACTTTAGATTTTTTTATTTCAGTTCTACTAATAAAAAAGATAAATTGCTATGTCTAATTTCTATCCTTCTACTCTCATCAATATCACACTTTTTTGCATACTGACTTTTGTAGGGGTACTCTTAATATTTTACTTTTACAATAGTTTCGTTACCACCAAACGCCTTTTATAGAATAAATACTTTTGCGTTTAAATGGTTGTAACCAGGGGGGTGACAGTGAAATAGGAAAATTGGAAACAGTCATTAGTGTCATTCCTGTCATTCTCCTCACGACAAGTATGGCCGCCTAGACAAGGACAGCATTGTTTTTGTCTAACTATTGTCTAACTTCACAGTTTAGAATTGACAGATTTCAGTTTCAGAGACAACTTCAGATTTGTTCTAGAACAAATTCGAAAATATTCGACGCCATTTTAATTCATTCCGTTTAGTTTCGTTTTGGAAGTTCAATTTAATATTTCGGCTGAAATTTATAAATATAAAGGTAATAAAGTATATAAAATATATATTACATGAAGAATCCTGGAGACAATGACGTTTCTGCAGTAGTAGGTATGTCCCATGTATATGAAAAATAGGTAGTAAATAAACACTGTTTTTACATTTTTTAGATGCAAGAAAATGGTGTTATAATCTCTTTGATCGGCGATTTTTTGAAAATGGAAACAATTTACAGCAAGGTAAGATCATTTTTAACTATAGCCAACATTAGTTATCTCCAGTATGTGCGATTTATTGTCAATAATGCAATAAATCGGACTGATAATCTGATTATGTTATCCGACTAAAAGTCTCTTTTTGCATCTTTTTGATTTATAAGCCAGGTTCTTTGGGAATAATGGACGCTTTTTTTAAACAGTTAATAAAAATAGGGACAGCATTTTATTTTGAAAAAAAAATAAATATGCGAAAATTTGTCGTTTTCTGTTTTGGTATTTCCATATCTATCTAGTAAAATACCATTACCGGTACCATTGGTTGTTATGGCGCAAACCTTCAACAGCAAAACAAACGACTAAGTGACAGTTTTGAATTTCTCCTTCGCTTTTTCGAATTTATATAATATAGAAAGCCAGAATGTTGTCGAAAAGTTCTGATAATGAAGACTACTTTAATATTGGTAGTCCATCAGAACTTACAGAAGCTGCAAAAAGAGCAGAAGCCAGTTTACTTCCAGAGAAAAGTAGGGGGCAATATGAAATAGCATTGAAAGTATACGAAAAATGGTGTGCCGAATTCGAAGACAGTCTTGATGGCATATTTTAGCGACATGGCAAGGCAGAAAAAACCATCTACTCTTTGGGCTACGTACAGCATGATACGGACAATAATTATTATTGTTATTATTGTTAGTCTTTTATTTTTGTTGACGTTAGATAAGTATTTAATAAAGATATTACAAGAATATTTTGCTTAATTAAATGAGGCGAGAAATAAGAAAGAGCAGAACCAACTTGATATCCGAACCGTGGCTGGATACGAGGTAGTGAGCCAGTTCAACTATTTAGGTTCCATGATAGCTAACTCTGGAGGATGAGAGGCTAAAATCAGGCGCAGAGTGGCAATGGCGAGGAATGCAACAATAAAGCTGATTAAGATATGGAAGACTTCAGCAATCACACGAAGAACTAAACTGCGCATTGCGAACTCCCTGATATTCCCAATAGTTATTTATGGCTCCGAAACATAGACACTAAAGGAAGGTTACAAGTAAAGAATAAATGCCTTGGAGATGTGGGTATATCGACTGCTGCTGCGAATACCATAGACGGCTCATCGAACAAACATTTCCATTATAGAGGAACTAAAAATTGGGACGTGTCTGGTTACCAGATTAAATCAGTCAATCCTCCGATATTTTGGTCATATTGCCAGGAGTGGCACCTCAATTGAGAGACTGATGGGGGAGGGGAAGGTACACTGAAAAAAATATTGTTCATAATATTAATGAACATTGATTATTAACTGTTGTTTCATTGTGACAATGATTTTTTTCATTAATATAATGATTTGTTAATCATAGATCGATGTCCGATTTATTAATACTATGAATCTAACTTCATCAATATAATGAAAATCTGGTTATTAAATTAATGTAAGATTTTCATTAATATAATGAACACGTTCATTGTCCCAATGAACGCGTTCTTTATTTTAATGCTGAAACTTTAATAAACACATATTCATTATATTAATGTACTAAATCATTGAGATATTGTGACAATGAACAATGTTATTAATACAACAAACACACTACATTATATTAATGTACGCGGTTATTAATGTCATGAATAAAATATTAGGGCTTAAATGTCCGCCATGTTGATCGGTTACTTTGGCACTTTAATAACGTCTGTGTGGTTGAGTTATTCAG